ACACACACACACACACACACACACACGCACGCACGCACGCACGCACGCACGCACGCACGCGCGCGCGCGCACCTGCCATGCAGTGTGAACTAGAAGCGCCATAAGCAGACGATGTTACGGTCAGCTGCAGGTGTCGTGTTTGAGTATCTCTCGTCATTCCATCTCCTGGAATGCCCTCCTATTATCAGAGCCCTGTAGACATGGAGACCTTGATGATTTCAATCACTGTGCAAGGTCCTGTGTGCTGCAGTGGCTTGGTCGAGTGTAGTGTAGTGAGTGACTCGAGAAGAAGAAGATTGCTCGTCTGCTGTCGCTTATTCGGCATTCCTCGCGCAAGGTTTTCTACTTCAAGCATCTACGCATCTAGTTACGGATTTCATATTTGCTGTGCTGTGGCAATAGAACATGCGCGCGTGGAACTATATGATCAAGGGAATAAAAACACAAATTTGCTTTTATTCATTACTGATTTATCATACATGTGGCTGTAGCTCTCTTTTCCCCTTACATCTTGAATACTGTCTTGCATAGTGCTTCAACGTAGCATGCCCCATGGGCCGCACGCATGCGCCGCACGAGAACTGGTGTTATATTTGTAATTTGTGACATAATATCTGTGATTCAATGAAGTTGAAATGACATTAGAAAAGAATAAGGGTAGTTGGTTACGATATTAGATGAAATACGAAGCCATGACAAGTTGAAACATGGAGCTATAGCGTAGTCTAATGTATCGAATCCGCAACGAGGTGTGTGCTATTTTAATACCGCGTACCATTCATTATTGATTGTTGATATCCATAGCAAAAACTTTTCGAAAACTACACGTTTTAGTAACTTGTACTTTAACGCGTAACTTTGTGTTTCTATCTACAGATGCGACGGTGGCGTACGTGTATGAAGATGCTGAAGAGGAGGAGGGGGAGGAGGATGAGCAGCAGGAGGGGGAGGCGACGGGCGGACAGCGGCGACGCTTCAGTGTCCGCCTGTATGATACGGACATCGTGTTAGAGCTGCGACCGAGTGCAGTCGTGCTAGGACGAGGTATACGGCCTCACCACGGCTGACTCTAAACTCCAGTCTAGAACCTAGACGCGTTTCTAGCCCGTAGTATCTAATTTACACAGTAGATTCTAGCCCAGGACGTTAACCGTAGATCGTAGACTCTAATTTATACAGTAGATTCTAGCCCAGGACGTTAACCGTAGATCGTAGACTTGCGAGAGATACAGAGAGAGATGCAGAGCGCGCGCAACAGTAACACGTCGTGTTTGTTACTCTTCCGCGCGCTAGGCAATCCCTGCGATATGTTCTGCTACGTGCCGCGGCTCGGCTACAACACACAACCACAGCCCTCGTACAGGGACGGCACCGACTGTCTGGATCCCTACCAAAAGAAGCACGGCGAAGTCACCAGCGACGCCTACTATCGATGCGTGGGCGGCAAATGCCTGGTGAGTCAGTCAGTGGTTTCAGCGATGGCTTCTAAGATGAGTTCGTTCAAATGATGGGTTCATTTCGCGCGAAACAGAAGTACGGGGATATTTTCCGGGATCCGGGATATACACGGGAATCGGGGCATGCTAAACATCGGAGTAGACGCAACGGATTTAATCCTGGGCTTTAATTAAGAATTCAATTGTTGAAATGCATTCCAGATGTTCCCGCTACCCAATTACATTCCCGTGGCATCTGCGGCGCTCAGGGGTTTACTCCTAATGATAACACTAGTCTATAGGTTCAACGCAGCGAGAGAGCCTCACTCACTTATCCGCCGGTGGAGTGAATAAGACATCGACTAACATCTTAACTGATGACGCATGCGCAACGCAGCCGTACAGCGTTATCTGTTCTTTGAACTCGATCTCGTACTCGCAAGATTACGATCGGAGGGGGGGGGGGATTGTGAGAGAGTACATATGCGGTCCCGCAGACATCTGCGGACGTGTGCAAGCAGCGCCAGGCAGCAATAGCGCTGCAACAACTACGATGAAGTTAAACCCACGCCCTCCATCCGCGCGATTGGAAGATGTGAGAGACTAAAGACTAAACAAAGCTGTTGGCGCATGCGCGCCCTATAGTAGAAAAACAAATACAACCCCCCCCTTCTGGTCTACACCGCAGATACAAAACGAACACTCTAAATATTTACTTGAGCGCGCTGTGCGGTTTATAAAGCAGGCAGATGTCATAAATAGCCACATGCAGCCTGATTGCGTCACAAAAACGTGGGTTTCGTGCACGTACTCGCGGCGAACACATTTAAGCCGAGTATTTTTAGTTTATTTTATTGGTTTACAAGAAAAAGACGCTTTCGCGAAGCCGCCGTCGTCACCATCGTCATCATCATGATCATCAGCAGCATTCTTCTGTTCTCTCCTGTGCATGTTCCTCCGCCGCCTCTCCTCCTTCTCCTTCCTTATCGTCTTCGACATCCTCCGCATCCTTCGCTTCTTCTTCCTCCTGCTCCTGCTCCTCCTCCTCCCTCTCCTCCTCCTCCTCCTCCTCCTCCTCCTCCTTCACCACCACCTCAACTGCATTACCTTTCTGATCTTCATCATCGTCTTGCTGCTGGCACTCGTCATTCTCATTATGATCATTATCATCATAACCATCATTATCATCGGCGGCATTTGCATCAGCATCATCAATAACAGAGGTAGTATAGCATCATTATGATCAAAAAGAGAAGTTATAGCGGTGTCAGTCATGGGAGCCGGGAGTTGGGAAGAATTCAATTGTCCTAGACCCTCGCGGGTCAGTTCACCTGTTTCTATATATTGCTTCCCATGTCTCCGTTGTTTGTAACCTGACGAATTAATATCGAACGCCGACGTTCTAATCAACACAGGAGTTTGGATGCGATGGGAAACTCGACACAGCTGGCAAGGTCGACTGTCACGTGACGTCGACAACGTCGGCGGCGACGAAGCCGACGGCAGCACCCACAATGCCGACGCCCTCAGCGACAACGACACGTAAGGCGCTTCCATTCACGTCGCTGTAGAGTAACCATAGCAACCATTAGTATGCATGGTTGATGGAGATGACAGGCAAATGTTTGCGTGCGTGATATTTTTACATACAGCGTTGTCAGGACTGTTAGAGAAGAATGCCAATGAACGATCGCGAGGAGGGAGGGAACCGTTCTAAAAACTTAATGGGCGATAATGCGCCATAAATATCTCACGAATTCTCGCGTTTTTTCACGGAGAATAATGGCGCATTCCACTTATCGTGAAACCTTTAGAATTGTTAGTGTTTTTAGTGCCGGCTTCTAAGGAAAATACTGGCGCGATCTTAACGTGTGATTATTATGAAATAGTTTGAATTAAATAATTGGATATAGATGAATTCACTACAAGCATGGGCTACCGCGTAAAAATAATTATACGTGTGCTCATAATGGGATGGGTGCTAAAGGTATCAGGTGCTGTCAGATACGCGTACAGGGCTGGATGTGTGTACATGCACACACGCGCATTCTCAGGTGTACCCGCGCGCGCGTCCACACGTACGCGCACGCCTCTCTCTCTCTCTCTTTCTTTCTTTTTTTTTCTCCAGGGTTTCCCGCTTTGTACCAGAGAATTAAAATGGTCCGATTTCGCATTCCGAAAATAACCGTTCTCCCCTCCTCCCTTCCCTCGCCTCCCTCGTTAGTGTGATTAACGACTGAGCGTGACGTGTGCGCACGTGCGTGGCAATACGCATGACGTCAGCTCGCAGTAAGATCCCGCCGACGTTAGGGGCTTCATCCAGGCCGCGCTAACCGATCGATCATTCGCGTTTGGCAACTATATAAACGAGATGGCTTCGTGGCAATCAATCCTGCTTGTCCGCTTGCCATACGCTCTCACCGAGCCGCCTTTTCATCCCAGTAACTGCCTTCCTATCCCAGTAACTGCCTTCCCATCCCAGTAACCGCCTTCCCATCCCAGTAACCGCCTTCTCATCCCAGTAACTGCCTTTCCGTGTAGTACCATTTACTCACCGAGTAAGCAACAAGTCGGTTAAACCCCGCGTTAGAAGGCACGACGTGCGAGTTTATATGTATTTGCTTGTTGTTACGTTGACTGATCGAGGTTAATTGACGCTCTTTCAGGCCGCAACATGGAGGAAAGGAATGCAAAGGTCCCGACGTGCAAGTACAAATGTGTAACATGAAGGTACATAAGACGCCGTATCGTGTTAGCCTCATGAATACGATATATGGTCATGATACGATGTCATATTATATATAGCGTCATTGCAAGAAGAATATTATTAATAACTTACAATACCTCTCAGCTATTGATATCACCGTTGGTATTGGCATTGGCGATATCAATATCATCAGTTCTTGCTGTTATAGTCTATTGTTTTGGGGTTAAGCAATCAACATTTTTAGCTGTATATATATCTGCGGTGGGTTAGTGACACAGGTAATGAGGTACAAGGACCAGAAACGAATATATAAGTTTGCTAACCTAAAAGACGGGGTCAACGTCATCTCCTTAGGACACGTACGACCCCCCTTCCCCCATAGAACCAGTCTAACTAACCGTTAACTGTGCCAACAAGCGTATATTATGAAAACTGTGTCGAGTATGCTTTTACAGTTAAGTGTGTATATATTGTGTTTAGCTTTTTTGGCGCTCGAGTCGCTCGCAGACTGCGTGTATACTACACGAGTCTTCAAAACACGTGTTCGCGCTCTGCGCACTTGCTCGCGCCGCACCGCCAACGCCTCCTCCTCCACCTCCTCCTCCTCCTCTTCTTCCTTCTTCTTTTTTTCTCCTCCTCATCTTCCTTCTCCTCCTTCTCCTCCTTATCCTCCTCCTTCTCATCTTTTTTCTCCTCCCCTTCCTCCTTCTCCTCGTCCTCCTCCTCCTCCTCCTCTTCCTCCCCTTCTTCTTTTTTTCTCCTCCTTCTCCTTCTCTTCCTCAACAACAACAACAACAACAACAACAACAACGACGACGACGACAACAACAACAACAACAACAGCACCCCAAAGCATGCCGTACTAAACGTCTACACTCACTGACCGTAACACGTATTGCACGTACGTGACGATTATTCACGGCGCTTGCTCGGGCGGTATGTGTAAGATCAGGGGTAGATAATGAAAGAATTTGTCATTATCTACCACTGATAATATTAAATACGTAACGCAACAGAACAGGGTTGCTCTGCGAGGTTACGTTAGCATAACGAGGGATATAGCATCGTAAACTAAGCGTGGAACCGTTATTTTCGGGGACGCGGGGTTGAGGTATTTTAATCACATGTAAACTAGAAAAAAAAATTGTTTTCAAAATAAAGCATTTTAACATTTAAAATAACTGGAAAAGTACTGGGAGTTTATTTAACTGCGAACTGATAAATGGCAAACATTCTTTACTCGGGACACTGGGAATAGGCCCCGCCCAACCAACCGTTCCCCTTGCGTAAAACGTCTTGCGCACGTACGGTTTCTCGGAGCTCGCTCGTGGGGCATGCACTCGTGCTGAGCGCACTCCCAGCCGACGCGAAACTAACGACGCCTGTGTAAACAGACGAAACGATGTTTCCTAAGATCGTGCCTACAGAAGGTCCACCCACCGCAACACATCTCCGCGTGCGTGTCTCACACATCTCCCTCCTCCTTTTCCCCTCCTATGCCTCCCCCCGTTCACGCGTACATGCGTGCGTGTCTCGCATCCTCTCCTTCTCCCACGCTCCTTCTTTCCCCTCGCCCACGCGTACATGCGTGCGTGTCTCTCATCCCCTGCTTCTCCCCCGCTCTTTCCTCCCCTCGCCCACACGTACATGCATGCGTGCGTGTCTCGCATCCCCTCCTTCTCCCACGCCTTCCTTCACCCGTCCACGCGTACATGCATGCGCGTCTCGCATCCTCTCCTTCTCCCACGCTCCTTCCTCCCCCCGTCCACGCGTACATGCCAAGTACAACAACGACATCAGACATCGGACATCGACATCGAGTCATCGGGCAGCGATACTGGAACGGCAAACACAGCGACCGAGAGACTTTAACAAAGTTAATCAACACATTTTTTAACCGACCTCCTCGTCTTTCGCGTATGCACGAAAGAGAAAACCTGTGGACTGCCAATGAACACGTTCGAAACTCATTCCTACGTTATACGCTCTTAAAGATAATAGAGGATGTGGAAACGTGGTGGGAATGGCCTTCTACGGATTGAAGCGCGTGTGTATAGTATTCACCCTATCGGTATACACCCCCTGCCCCTCCGCGTTTCTAGTTGGTGCTGGGGATTCTTAACCTGTTCACCGAATGTTCGTGAAAATATTCTGATGTTTTTTACTAGATTTTTCTTAACGAAAGTTCGTAGTCTTCGTAAAACGCATGTTCAAATCATGTTCGGATTGTCACGCAAACGCGCATAGCTTTAAATGTCAATGACCGTTAATCACAACTAAGGCACGACTGACATTCTCCATATACCGAGTGTTTTTTCAAGATTACGCGAACTCAGAAACCTATTATATATAAATTGGCCACTTTCTGCCACGCAGTTAGAAGAAACTATTTTCAACTTGCGGTACTGTTCGGAAACGGCCTACACGGAAAGGTGTCCGTTATCGTCTGTTTCCGGTTCCGTCTCCGTTATCGTCTGTTTCCGGTTCCGTCTCCGTTATCGTCTGTTTCCGGTTCCGTCTCCGTTATCATCTGTTTCCGGTTCCGTTTCTTCCCAGCGGCTAGGAGACGACCTAGAACCAGGTCGATGCGGGCTCACAGCAGGCCGCTGAGCGTGCCTAGGTACGCAGAGGTGCTCGTGGTCGCAGACAGGAGCATGCAGAAGTACCACAGCAAAGCCGACATCTTTACCTACCTGCTCACACTGATGCACATCGTAAGTCACGAAGCCGAATAATAATAATAATAATTATTATTATTATTATTATTATTAATGTTAGTAATAATCGTCATCATTATCATTATAATTATAACTATAACCATAGTAGTAGTAGTAATAATAATAATAAAATAATATTTTGGTTTAATTGGCTAAATATTCATGTAAGTTATTTCTAATTCAGCAACACTCGCTTACGGTGGAAACACGGACGCAACTCCGTTTTAGAGGAGCATTTCCCAATGCACATTAGACTCCAGGCATCCCGTGCGTTCGTGATCATATATCGCGATTATTTTCATAAAATGATGAACGAGAGGATTTCGTAATGTTTACTTTCTCCGTGTTTACTTGCTCATGCATGTCTGTGTGTGGTTTTGTTACAGGCGTCTCAGCGGTTTCTGGATCCGTCCATCGGCACGCCGCTACACCTGAGTGTCGTCAGACTCATTCTACTGGACGCCGAAGAGGTGAACATGCCTTTCCTTCGTACACTGCTTACCGTAACCCATGAACGTGGTAATAATAGTGTTTCTAACCGCTATTATGAGCTATCGTTCTATTATGACTTATCACGATCCTAGGGGGGTGGCGTAGTCAGAAGCATACGATAATGATTAGAAATATTAGAACAGATGTAGAAATAGCTATAAGATTGAGACTAATATTAGAACTTGAAGAAGCTAAATATATATGAGACCTAATATTAGGAAGACTTCTTTTTGACAACGCCCCCCGGTCCCTTGAAGATTACTGACGGTGACATTTACAGAAATAAGGATCTCTAATCTCAAATGAAGGAGGGAATCGGGGTCTCCGTTCTTAGTTTCCCGTGCTGATCACCCAGCAGTCGTCGACCGTAGCGTAGCCCCGCAACACGCGGTATTAAGCGCTTCTTTAATCCGCGCGCCAATGCATCCCGGTGGGAAGCTGAGCCTCTCCTTAGATGAGCGGAGAGGCGGCGGCGGCCCCTGTAACGCATGGTGTCGCTCGGCTTCACCGCGAGAGAAGGCCGAGCGCGCGGCAACGCTTTGATCCCCGGCGAATTAAAATGGCTAAAGAAAAAAATAATTAAAAAAAATAAAGTGGTTCTCGGTGTTTTCACTTTGACGCGATCGCCGGCGATTAAAAAATGTTGAAATTAAACACGAAAACAATCCTGCCAAATCCCAGCGGAATCACACTCTCTAAGTGGTGGAATGTTGTCAGAGGAAGAGGATGGAGGCGGCAAAACCGACGTAAATAAACACACAGACGTGTTTTCAATAAACACATGCAAGCATGCATAGAAAGCAGCTCTGTAAAGGCTCACGCAATATTCCTGCGCTACACGTACGCAAACTGCACGACAGATGGCGCTCTCGCTCTGGCTCCTGAGTTGTACGAAGGGGGCGCTGCATGCAGTTTGACACGTACGTAGCCCTTCGCTCCCGCTGCAAGGTGACCTTGTGGCTCTCTCTGTAGTAGGAGCGAAGGGCTTCACACGAGTAGAGCTAGTACTAATCTCGCATCGGTTACGTTACAGCCAGAGTTGAAGATCACACGAAGCCCGTTAGAAAACCAGAGGTGGTAACCGCTGCTGCTGAAAAAACAGGTGCGGGTTATTCTCTCTACTGCGACTCTAATCAATATATATATATATATATATGCATATGTGTGTGTGTGTCCGCTCCGTATATCGGGATTAATACCAAACCTGGCAGCTTTAATTAACATGTCCGATGAATCTACGCCCTCCTGGAGACACATTGACGCGCCAAGCCTGTGGCAGTTAAAATATCAAGCCAATAAATTAATACATAACTATTAATTAATGTAATAATATAATAGAAACTATAAATAATATAATAAAATATAGTTCATAATTATATATATATATATCACGAATATATATCACTATCTCGAACGAATATCTCGAATGAATTTTTTCTGTCCGTAGAAGCTGCCACCACGAAAAAAGCGATCGTGACGCACCCTACCGCAGGCTATCCACCGCATACGGAGGCGACCCTGGTGGCGACGAGTGGAATCGCGGTCGACGGTGGGTGGTCGGAGTGGGCGTGGTCTGCGTGCTCGCGCAGCTGTGGCGGAGGAATAAGCACGAGGACGCGTGCTTGCGACAATCCTCGGTAAGCACTCCCGAGTGTAGTTAGTCGTAGCACCAGTGCAGCAGCAGCAGCAGCAGCAGCAACGCGTTTATATAGAACATCGCGAGTGACTAGCCCACATAAAGAATTGTAATGTACAAACATATTATGTAAAAAATACACAAAAATATATAATATATATATAATGTAAATTATATTATTCGTATTATTCATATTACGTCTATAATGCGTATATAATACAAATTTATTTATTTTACATTTGTGATTATGTGATATTTGTCATTATTCACCGGTGATAATCTGTACGTAAATAGTATTTCTATCGTGTATAGCAGTCTAGTATAGTAGATAATGTGTAATTCCTACAATGTTGATTAACTACTTCTGTATTTTGTGTAGACCGAGTAACGGAGGCTCGATATGTTTTGGCGATACCGAACAGCTGCAACTGTGCAATGAGAAGGTACGAGCTTCCCACGCGATAGCTGGGAACAGCATGTATCAATAACTATTATCGACGTTTCCAATCGCCGAACAGTTATCACTATCGAACATTCGGCAAGGCAGTGCACGCGTGCGATTGTACACTCGGAAACACTCGGTTCAGCAGTGTTGGTAGATGAAGAGATGACTGCTAATGATGACGATTACCTGTGCCTGGCTATATTCAATAGCCAGCAATCTATTAATATATATTATATATATATATAATAATAATAATAATAATAATAATAATAATAATAATAATAATAATACTAACTAGCCGGATACCCGGCGTTGGAACCTCGTGGAAAACCCGATACCGTACAGTTTGGTGTGATACATGAAGCCAGCGAAATTCAATAGCCAGAAATCTAATAATATAATATATAATAGCAATATATTACAGTTTGGTACGGTACTTGAATCCAGCGAACTTATGGACGCTATAAATAACATGCGCTTTGTAACATATCGTAAACGTATAGACTGTTATGTCGTGAAACGTTACATGTCGAATAGTAAGGTTCACCACAAATCAATCAAATCAAATTAAATTGAATTAAATGAATGAAATAGAATCGAATCAAAACAAAACGAATCTAATCAAATCAAACGAATTAAACCAAATCAATTCAAATCAAATCAAATCAAATCAATGCAAACCAAATCAATCAAAAAACATTGAAACAATCAATAAATCGATTCATGACAGTATATACGTCCCGCTACGTTTACTTTCCATGCAGCCGTGTGAGACGTCGCAGTACGCTCACAAGCAGCAGCAGTGCATGCGAGAGCTCGGCACGCGGGCATTCGCCGGCCGCACCTTCAAGTGGGACCCGTATTTCGGACACGGCGGTAATATTTTGTAGTATAACAGTGTAGAAAATACTATGGTAATTACATATAGTAATAATGAATATGATGAAGGAGTGGGACTGAGACTATAGGTAAGCAGTGGGACTGAGACTATAGAAAAGCAGTGGGACTGAGACTATAGGAAAGTAGTGGGACTGAGACTATAGGTAAGCAACGCGAGTTATAATGGCACGTATGTATTAAACGCTATATATTAGCGTTTATATAAGGGTTTATTTCCTCAAATATACATATACATATGTGTGTGTGTGTGTGTGTGTGTGTGTGTGTGTGTGTGTGTGTGTGTGTGTGTGTGCGTGCTGCGTGCGTTCGTGCGTGCGTGCGTGCGTGCGTGCGTGCGTGCGTGCGTGCGTGCGAGCGTACGTACATTCGTGTGTGTGTTCGTGTTGTGTGTGCGTGCGTGCGTGCGTGTTTTTGTTTTTAAATTTTAAATTTTTTTTTCCTGTTTTCGTCGTGAATTATTGCGCGTTTATTATTCTGAAATATCTGTTGTTTTCAGATCATCCGTGCGTGATGTGGTGTCGTGTGGCTACGTACGGCTACACGCTGCAGCCGAAGCTCTACTACGATGATGGCACGGACTGCGCCGGACACAAACCCATCGATGTGACGCACGTTTTCCACAGGTGTCACAGCGGCAAGTGCATGGTACGTGCATCCTTCCACCTCCACCCACACACACACCTCTACCCCTCCGTTCACAAACCCATCTCTTTCTCTTGCGTTCTCCGTCCCTCCCGCTCTCTAGCTCACCTTTTTCAGCCGCATTCGCTCGCCTTCTTAGCCTTCATGTACTCTCTCTTTCTCTCTCCTCTCTCCACTCCTCTCGCCTCTTTCCTTGCTGTTTCCCTCCCTGCCCCATACCCAACTCTCTTCCAATACCTCTCCACCCCTCCTGCTCCCCAGCTCAAGCGTTCTCTGTCTTTGTCCCTCCCTCTCTTGCCCTCTTGATCTTCCTGTCTCTGATTTTCTCTCTATCACCTCTTTCCTCCTGCGCACTAGCTCTCTCTCTCTCTCTCTCTCTCTCTCTCTCTCTCTCTCTCTCTCTCTCTCTCTCTCTCTCTCTCTGTCTCTTTTTCTCTTTCTTTATTATCCCCTCCACCCACTGTCTTCGTGTGCCGCTTGTTAACACGCACACAAACCAGCCCGCCTCCTGGATCTATCCTTCTCTCTATCTCTGCTTCCTTCCCGCGTTCTAGCTCAGTCTATCGCCATCTCTTGCTCCCTCTCTATCTCTTTCCTTCTCATCATCTCCACTATACTACACCCACTGTTTTAGTGTTCCGCCCGTTAACACGCATATGCACACAAACCAGCCCGCCTTACCAGTAATAATTAAACTAGCAATTAAAGGCTCGTATTTGATCAAGTAAATCCGGTACCAATATAACGGTTCATTGATGTCCGCCGTTAATACTCTCTGTCGATCACCCGTTACTCGTTACCAGTTGAAATGGAAACTCTACTCGAACAAGAGTATTCACTGTTCGTTGTTTATGTGTTTGTCGTGCGTGCGTTCTCGTAGTTGTTGTCGCTCGCGTGTTTAATTTGCTGACACAGGTGTCCGCGGTGCGCGCTCTCGCGTTTTTGCAGAAGTTTGGATGCGATGGGAAGGTGAACTCAACTGTAACGACCGACAGCTGCGGCGTGTGTGGAGGCAACGGCGCGTCGTGCAAGCAGATGCAAGACGTACCGAAAGGTAGGTAATGTATTATACTCTCTCTGTGTCTGTCGTGTTTTCTCTCTCTCTCCTTCCCTCTCTCTCTCTCTCTCGCTCTCTCTCTCTCTCTCTCTCTATCTGTCGTGTTTTCTCTCTCTCTCCTTCCTTCTCTCTCTCTCTCTCTCTCGCTCTCTCTCTCTCTCTCTCTCTCTTTCTCTC